TATATACCAACTTGTCTTCTTTTTACCATTTGTTAAATGAAAAAAGAATTTAAAATAAAAAAAAAAGTTTACAAATTAAAACCAATAAATTTCGAAATCTCAAAATCGATAACAACAAGATAAAACCCGAAATACCTTACCTCCCGGTGCTGCCAAATCAGAAAATATCTAGAATCAAAGAAAAATTTTCGAAGATTCTTGTTCCAAGATCGAAGAGCAAGTCTTAGATGAAAAGATTGAAAAAGATCAATCAGCAATTGGGTAAAGTGGTTAATATTTATTTTTTTTTTATGAAAAAATTTTAAATTTAAATTTTATTAATAATTATTTATTAAAATTATATCGAATTTACGACTTATAATTATTTATTTTAAATTATTAAATACGATATATTTTATTTTAATTTAAAAAATTAAATAATTTATTTATCCTCGAATTTTTTTTTATCACAAAAAAAGAAAAACTGAAGAAGAACTTAAGACTTGAAGATGATCCCAACAATGATCGATTCCTTCAAAAATACAGGTTTAATTTATTTTTCTTGATTTAATTGCATTTGTTTTCAGATTTAATTTTGTTTAGGGTTTAAATATTGAAAAGAATTGAGGACAGAGGGGGAAGAGAGAGAGATAAGGAGGGAGAAGGAGAGAGGCACCGCTTGCCATTAAAAACTAAATAGAGAAAGGCTTCTTCTTCTTCTTCTTGAAAACCCCTTTTAAATTCTTAATGAGATTTTGTGTTTAACCTGTTGAAACACAAAGGTAAGAGCTCAATTTCAGCAATGATAGCAAAAAATTGGATACTTAAAATGGAAACCAGGTGAGTTCCAATCTTAAACATGCCTTTCTTCTGCTGGAGCCTTCTTAAAAAAATAGGGATTAAGATGTTGGTGATTTTGTTTTTACGGTTTGAAGATTTTTTATTACATTAGAAAAAAAGGTTTCGGTTTAGTTGAAAAAAATAAAGAGCAAACTCACTTTTTTTAACTCTAAGATTAATTTAGGTTAATAATTATGTGTTTTTGCTTTTATATCAAAATCATGATTGACTAAAGTTGAAATCTTGTTTTGTGGCTGAAAAATTTTGGGTCTTCATTGATATCTATGTTTTCTACATTTTAACAGGAAAATGGTGTGGTTTTAACTGGAAGAAGAGGCTTACTAAGATGAGGGAAGTAGCTTAGATTTCAAAGTATGGATCAGTAATATTCTTCTCTCTCTTTCCTTTCCCCTTCTATCTATCCGATTGGGTTTTTTTTTTTTTTTTTTTTTTTTAAATTAAAAAAAAAATCGTTTTCTGTTTTTTTTTTTTTTAATTGTAAAAAATAATAAATGCCATGTGGTAGAAACTTGTATGCCATGTGTACATATCAATAACAGTTCCATATGTGATGTGGCATTTTTGAACACGTGTTATGCTTTAATCGGATTAATGGTCAAGTCAGCATTTGTTTTAATGGAGTTAAGTCGTGGGTTACACAGAAATAAAGTTTAATTATTTGATTAAATTTTTTTTAGATACCACATAAAAAAAATACAATAGTTTAGGGTTCAATTAAGTTGTTATCCCAAAAAAAAAAAAAAATTATAATTCAAACCAAACCAAAATACTTTACAACATTAAGCATATATAGTAACAAAAGAACGTGAGAAGAAACATCAGAGAAAAACAAAACCATATATAAACAAAAGTTGGGATTATAACAGTTCAAATTCAATGCAGGGTTGTTGGGTAGTATTATGAATGTTTAAAATTTAATTTAAATTTGAATTGATTTTTTCTTGACATCAATCTGAATTAAATTTTAATTGATCCATTAATTTTTAATTTTTAAATTTTTATATATTATTTTAATAAAAAATTTAATATATTTAAATAAATTTATATATAAAATAATTATTTTATTTTATAAAAAATTAAAAATATATATATAAATTAATAAAAATATATAATTTGATTTGATTTGATTTTTTTTTGTTTTTATATTTTAATCTGAAATTTAATCCGAATTTAATATATATTTAATATTTAAATTTTATTCGAATTGAAAAAAAAAAATTGAACCGAATAAAATATTTTGATTTTAAATTTATTTTTTATTATTTTGATTTTTTTTTTCACCCCTACCGAGAATTGCCAAAAAAAAAAAAAAGAAGACTTGGAGGGAGGCAAAGTGTTAAGGCTCGATCTTGAGAAGAAATGAAGAATAGAAAATAAGGTGACTGAGAGTAGCAAGTACTGAAGATGAGAAATGAAAATAAATGAAAAGTGACATCAGGTCCAAATGAAACGAGGGTGTTTTAGGTTTAGGACAACAACATGCATAAATATGAAACGGTGCATTTCAGCATGAGTAATTTTGATTAATTGTTTGATTAATTTATTTTCAAATTAAATTAATAAAAAATCAAAATTTTATTAAAATTACTTTTGATAAATCAAATTGATTTAATTTGATTAAATTTTAATTGACCGAATTAAATCAACTCAATAAATTAATTCAATTAAAATCAAATTATAAACATTACTAATCATATTCAATAGAGTTATATGCAGTAGAAGTCATAGCTAACAAAGAGCTAATGGTAAGTCTCCAATCCAAAACTTATTGTCCACATTTTATGATGATTTGAATAATCAGACTAAAACATAAACTGTATATTCTTAAAAGTTTATACGATACATACAAAGTCATTATTATCGTCTTTCTCTCTTTCAATTTTTGTTTATCATTTTCCATTTTCGTTTTGGGAATGAAAGTGGAGGGAAATATTTGACCTCGAACATGCATGAAATGTAACCCATTGGAGTTAAAGGCGTACCATGCATGAGAAACCAACGGGCACCAACAAGTCTCCTAAGTGTCCCCCACATACATACTCAAGCTAATCAAACTTGGTATCTTTCCCGGTACTAAAGACTTGAGTATGAGGCAGCCTTTGGCCATTGCATTGGAGAACGTCGCCCAACATATAGGCCCCCACTTTTCCTGCAGCCAGTAATATCCTGCGTACCTCTCTTTAAGTCTTGATGCTAAAACCCAACCGGCAAAGCAAAGACCCACTCTAAATGCTCGACCGATCTTATCAGGCTCAGGCGAAGTCTATTTCTTGCGAAAAAGTCACAAAGAAAAGTCACCATGAATAAAAACAGTATTCCAATTCCCAACGTATGGTTTTCCCAGTTTCTAATTTCTAACATTGGTTTCCTTTCACTTTCGCAAGCTGGCTAGCCTCGCCCTAGTGCGTGACAAAACATACGCTTTAAACGTATAAAATAAAAAAGTCAGGCAGGGAACTAGCAATATCCCGCTGGGATGATTTTGTGAAGTTTTTTAGATTTGACCAAAGGGAAGGTAAGTTCAAAGGTGGGTAAATTCAAGTCTAGTAAGCATGAGCAAGACTCCTTTTTTTTTTTCCATACACGTGAAAGTCAAAGGAGCTTTTATTTTTAGAGTTAGATTGCTCGTGAAATGGCTGACCAATATAGGACAGACACGTGTACAAACAGTCTTGTTTCTAACCTCGCGTGTGCCCACTTGCGCAAGCTTACTCAGTTCTCTGCAGTCACGCCCATGACAATGAGCGAGACAGACAGGCCCAGTGGATAGTCCAGGAATTTTCACCACAGTAATTTTCATCATTTTTATGAGTCAGGAAAAGTTACCTCTCCTCTATCTTTCTTCGCATTTCATGTGTACTGTAATGGACAAAGAAGAGGACGAAAAGGTAATAAATGGGGGAAGTGGATGGCAGAAAGTTTGAACTTACTGCTCTGTTTGTCACGTCTGAGAGCTATGTCTGTTCTGAGCATTTTGACTGGATTTTGGACTCTCTTCTGATTGATAAAGAAAGATTATCTTCCAAAACAAAGTAATTAAAAAAAACCCAAAATGTTTGTTGTTGCTAGTTTTTTCTTTTTTAATTTCTCTCTTCTTCTTTTTGATCCATCCGTCAATAATAGTCGGGGACTTTTTTTTGGGGGGGGGGGGGGGGGAAATGTTATGGATTAAGCAACAGCAACAGAAACAGCTAAAAAACCAAGCAAAACCCAAGTACTATTTCTTCTTACAAAAACATAGAAATTTATCTAACATTAGATATATTCCCATATAAAAGTATCTAGACCAGACGCCTACTCCATTTGGGTGCATTGCATATATAAAAAAAAAGATACATGCTATAATATAATTTAAATATATGGGCCATCAGAATGTTATACCATATCCCATTGGATCTATTCCCGTATAACTGTATCTAGACCAAAAGCACGCAAAGGGACTGATATAGTACTGTATATATATATTATTAATTGTAAGAACATTCTAGGATTGGTGTGGAGGGTGACAAAAAAAACCATTTTAAATGATTAGAACTACTCCTACCCCATATAGTGTTTTTTGATCATTGACCTCGGTTAAGACAAGCCAAATGAAAACAAAGATGATCAAGCATAAAAGCGTCTGATCTGCTAGCTCTACGAAAGGACAAGAAAGAAAGGATAGCTCAGTAATGAATTGAAAGCTACCAGAAACAGTATAGAGTCTAGCCTTTCATGATCGAAAGCGCTTTGGATAGATAGGCTGTTTCTTTCACTCTGGCTTATTATCTGAGAGCCCGCTTTGGAGATGTCAAAAAAAGGGACCTTCCCAAGGGAGGGGAGGATAGACCCTGACATTTCCATTGGTTCTGTAGCAGCACTAGACTTTGTGAACTAGAGACCGAAAGCCTGAAACTAAAGCCCCACCACCGCCACCGCCACCGCCACCGCCACCGTCCACGCCAGGCTTAACTTTCTTTGACAAAAATCCTGCAATCTTGTTCTTTATGACCCATTAAAACAAAGCTTAAGACTTCAAACAATATATACTAGAAGAAATGCAAGCATAAAGGTGGAAGAGCAAGATCAAGATAGGAAACGGAAACAGTGATTTATGAGTCAATAAGCACAAGGATAATTAATAAAAACTACATATAAAATTATAAGGTAGGTATCTTTTAAATTTGCAAGTACAATGAGACAACCAACTCCAACTACAGATATTATATGCCAAGGGAAGATAAATGAATATCGCCGAAAAGCTCAAACACCCAAAACAGTTCCCATGAGATTAAGATGGTGTTGTAAATCCAAAAACAACCTAGCAAAGGTATTGATGGGATCTTCACATGTTATTCATCTTCTACTCAATAAGGACGTGAGGAAGAACCCCAAGGCATAACATCAGGAGAGATCTGGCAATTGAGCGGGGTGGGATTTGCTACGCCATAAACAGACATGGACATGCCAGTAGAAGAGCAAGGCTCGGCTGCACCACCACCACCACCACCAACGTTTCCATGAATAGAAGGCTTGGTTTCCTGATGGTGATCTTCGTTATCACCTTCAAACGGCAGCCTATGAAACGCAGGGGTTATAAAAGTAGCAGCCACCACAATCACCGGCGTAGCTGCCATTACTTTCCCTCCTACTATCCCTCCAAAAACTTGCCCTTGTGCCCCTGCAAGTGTTACACCAAAAGAACAAGAAAGAGAAGACAAGGAACAAGGCGATGGTGACGATGACGAAGATGATTGGGGTGTTTTGCTAGAAGAACATAAAGTACCAGAGCCAATGAACGAGCCAGAGAAAGAGAGTAGCCCAAAGGGTCCATGAAGAGAGAGTGCTGGCGCGTGAGAAACAGGATGGCGGAGCGTGACGTTTGATACAGAGCCAGTAGCACTGATAATACTAACGCTAACATGGTTTCTTCCAGCAAAGCTGATAATAGTATCGATAATATCACAACCAGCAGAGATCTCGAGAATCACTGGCTTCATAGCTGAGTCACTGTCTCTGGTTATAACAATTGGTGGTTTGGGCTTGTTTTTGGACCCTGGAGGTCTACCTCTAGGCTTCCTAGCAGTGCTCTCGCATGAAAAAGGAGTTCGGTGATGATGATCTAGGGTAATAATCTTGTTGCTAGGAGTTTTTGACTTGGAAGAACCACCGCCTCCGCCAGAGGCAGAGAATGTTGGGACACTTCGAGGGCTGTGCTCAGATGAGTCATCATCGGAGGTGGGGGCCTGAGAAAGAGAGATAGCTCCGCTATAATCCGCCATTGTGGGTATATCCGGAGGACTAGCATATGAGAGAGAAGTGGTGAGAGAGTAGAGAGTAACGCTTTTTTAGGGTTTTTATATACATGGCAAGTGGAGTTCAATTAGAGTTAGTAGGAACCTCGTCATATGTGGACCTAGAAATACAATGTAGGGGTCCACATGGACTACGGTCTACTTTGGTTTTTCTAGGAGAAGAGTGCTCAAGTCAACGATTGAATGAGAGACTCCGACGAGCAGAAATGCTTTCACCGCACTACACATCCCGTTGTGGTGGCGATCAATTACACCAAACTCTCTGTGAAGAAGAGATGCAATAAGAGAAAATATACTGCCCAAAACAACTCAAATGAAGATCTATTTGTGAGTCTCACATAAATAGGCTAAATAGGATTGTGACATGGAGTTAGATATCAAGCTATTATAGATGGACTCCGAGGGGCTGAATTTTTGGAGGCTTAATTTTTTTTTCAATTTTTTAACAAAATTATATATATTGTCCCCTATTTTCATTTCACTCTTTTTTATTTCGAATTTTGGGATTCATACGAAACAGTCAAAGAGTAAGAATTCGAAATTTAGACTTTAATCTTGGTAAGAAGGAATAATAATTATTAAATCATATTTATTTATTATTAATAAATATGTGACAATTAATAAAATTTACTTTTTTAATTTTTTAATTTAAAAAAAGCCTGTTCAGTTTTTCAAGTAAATGAGATACATACATGCATTTATTATTGAAAATTTTAAACTAATACCATTGCTGTATATTGCATTAAAATATACAAAAATGAAAAACGTAAATTCAATAGGCAATTTCTTTTTTTTTGTTCACTTAAATTGTAGTTATTGACTTTATGATAAGGAAATTGTTAACCAATATCACGGTTAAAGTGATATTTAAAAAAAATTACAATTGAAGTATCATTTTTTATTGAATTTAGTAAAAGCAGTATGTTAAAAGGTAAAATTCTTTTTAAAAATAATAATTCAATTAACTTTAACAAATACTTATATACATTCAGTCTCTTCTAGGGTTTTCTTTTTTAAAGCTGCAGTGAGAGTTTTATCTTGCCTTGGGTTTAAGTACAAGGTTTTGTCTCTCCTTGTTTTTTTGGAGCGAAGGGAATTTTTTTTTTCGATGTTCGAGTGTTAGGGTGGATCTTATTTGGTGTTTAGTCAGAAATTATTGCTTTACAGTGTATTTGAATTGAGGAAAAAGGAAAGAAAAAAAAATAATGAAAACAAAAAATTTTTTTATTTAGATAAAATTTTAATTTAAAAAAAAAGGTGAAAATTTAAATTTTTTTGTTTTTCTTGTAATTTTTATTTTTTTAATATTTAATTTTGGAAAAAAAGCTAAAAAAATTTGAAAAACTTTTTTTATAAAAAATTATTATATTCGTATTTTATTATAATATTAAATTTTATTATATAACTTATACTTTTTATAAAAATAATTTTTTATAAGTATTTTATATAATATTTTATAAGTTTTTAAGTTTTAATAATAAAACAAGTCAAATTATTGTTAGAATAAATTAAAAAATTAAATTAAATATAAAATTAAAAAGTAAATCAATAATTAATTAATATATTTTATTATATTAAACATACTCAATTTTATTTTAAAAAATTTGTGTATACAAGTTAAATAATATAAAAATATATTTATATATTATATGTTACTTTATAAAAAAAGTTATAATTGAAAAAATATTATAATAAATTTTTTTATTATTTATTCAAATAATAATTATTAATTTTTTTAATTAATTTTAACTATTCAAATAAAAGATACATGTACTATTTTTAAAAAAAAAAACTAACTTTTTTTTCTTTTTATTTCTATGGGCAAAGCTTTCCTTGAGGAAAGAGGGGAAGTTATGGTTGATAAAGCATTGACCGAATCCACTGAGATTGAAAGGAGACCCACCTCATAGGGAAGGTTATGTCCAGGAAAGGAATGAACCTAAAAGCCATGAAAATGGTCCTTCACAAAGTGTGGAAGTTAACAAAAGGGCTACAGATAATGGAAGTGGGGGAAAAACTCATTCTTTTTCATTTTGAGGAAATGTTGGAAAAGAATAGGTCCAAATGACACAACCTTTTACGTTTAACAAAGCATTAATTGTGCTCGGAGAGTTGGAAGGCTCGGTACCATCTAAATCCATTGACATGAGTAGGTGTCCTTTTTGGATCCAAGTTTTTGGGCTGCGGCTAAATATGATGAACAAAAAAGTGGGGGCGGTGATAGAAGAATTCATGGGCGACGTGAAAGAAGTGGATGCCGATGGGGATAATAATGTATGGGGCAAATATCAGAGAGTTTGGGTTAACTTAAATGTTAATATGCCCCTAAAAAGGGGTATAAGGATAGCAGTTATTGATAGAGGTAAAACATTAGTCATGTTTAGATATGAGAGGTTGCCAAATTTCTATTTTGTGTGTGGCAAGCTTGATCAATAGGAGACTAGTGTAATATCGCAATGATGATAAAAAGTGAAGTGGGGTCAACTTGAAGAGAGTAGGAACAATGGCCATAAGCAGAATCCACAAAGGTACGACCTGTTAGAATGTACGGACACTGTCTAAGTGATTGTAGCGAGAATGACCACTCTGGTTCAAAAAAAATGGCAAGTTCCATGGTCTTGACAAGATGACAATGGAGAAGGAAGATGGCAACTTGTTTGTAGGGGCTAGCCATGTACGGGCACTAGTGGAACACAAGGATGCAAGCGATAATGACGAGAGAATTCAACGGAAGGATAGGGATAAGAAGAAAATCTTAGCCGAAAATGAAGCAGATAAAGGCGTGTTGAAGTGTACTGTGGATTCAATGGGGGAAGCTAAAATCTTGAAGAAAGGAGTATTTGAATCAAATCTGTTGGAAGGACAGAATTGGGGGGAAACTCATAAGAACCAAAATCTAAATGCTGGGCTTCTTGTTCAAACCCATGACAAAACAATCCATAGGCCGAAAGGGTATAAGTTGGGGGTGGGGCAACATGTAAAGAACTAAAGATGAATGGGCGAAATCGAAAGAGAAGTCCTAAGAGGTGGAAGCGGGTTGCAAGGGACATTGGGAAAAAGAATGTTTCAGAACAAAGAATCTGATGACAGTCGATTGGGAAAGAACAGGAAACGAAGTCTGCTTTGCTCTAGTTAGGATGGAGAGGATTCAGAGATGGGGGGAAGAAACAACATTGTATTCTGGAAGTGGACGGATATACTATCCCTAATGATACAGCGGTGATGGCTGGTAGGGAATACCAGCCCCAACAACAATGAATCTATTAGTTTGGAACTGTCAAGGGCTGGGGGCCCCTCGGGCAATTCATGAAGTGACCAAAATGGTTAGGAAACTTTGTCCCCTGGTGCTCTTCCTTATAAAAACAAATAGGAAAAGCAGCGAAATAGAGAGGTTAAAGGTTAGATGGGGTTTTGACAGTATCTTTAAGGTTGACAGTACTGGTAGGAGTGGGGCGTTGGTGTTGCTGTGGATGAATAATATAGATGTTCACTTGATGTCTTATTTAAGGTGGCATGCGGACATGAAAATACAGTTGGAAGGTGGTTGTCATCATTGGCGGCTCACTGGGTTTTATGAACATCCAGAGACACAAAAAAAAGGGAGTCGTGCGGTCTCTTACGGTGTTTTCATGAGACATTAGAACTACCATGGATGTGTGTAGGGGATTTTAACGAAGTGTTATCAGATGATGAGAAAGTAAGGGATTTGAAACTGTCTGCATGGTAGATCAAAGATTTAGAGGATGTTGTGGATGACTGTGACTTGAACCAGGTACCAGTCAGAGGTCCCAGTCAGAGGTCCTCTATTAACTTAGCAACGTGGGAATGGGAAGGATACCATGTATGAGAGGTTGGATCGCTGCCTTCCATCAACTTAATGGCTGAACCTTTTCCCTTTCTCGTAGGAGGACCACCTAGCAGTGATAACGTCAGACCATTTGCCTATTCTATTGTATATACAAGATAAACCAACTCCAAGTTACGGGGCTAAGAAAAGGTAGTTTAAATTTGAAAACATGTGGACTCAGCATGAGGAGTGCAAAGGTGTTATCAAGGAGTGGTGGGACACAGCCTGCTTCCCTGAGAGAAGTTATGGAACTTTTACGGAAGTGCAGCAGTAGATTGGGGACGAGGAATAGAGAGGTCTTCGGTCATGTCCAGAACCAGATCAATCACAAACAAGAGGAGTTGCGAGCTTTACTAATCGAAGAACAACTAAGGGAACAGTCGAAAAGGTTACGGGAATGCAAAGAAGAGTTGAGACATTTATTACAAAGAGAAGAAACCATGTGGAGACAAAGATCGAAGGAACTGTGGCCAGTGAGGGGTGATCAAAATACAAGTTTTTTCCATGGTACTGCTTCTAATAGAAGAAGAAATAACTTGATACCTAAGCTAAAAGATGATACAGGAATGTAGGCATCAGATGGGACTTGAGATAGAAAGGATCATTGTGGAGTATTTCCAGGGTATCTTTACTACTACTCAGCCACACGAACTAGGAAGCGTAGTAAGCTGTGTGGAGGCACGGGGTCACAGACGAAATGTGACTACCTTTTAAAAGTTGTTTGAATCAAATTTAATCTTACCATTTATAGAACAGGGATAAAAAACAAAGATACCCATCAACACATTTACCATAAAGAAGACAAAATAAGGCACGACAAAAACAGAGTATTCCTCAGATATTTCAAGTAGTTTTTCAGCTTCTACATTCAAATAATAATTTTAAATTAAAAAATATTAAATAGTTAAACCTCTGTGACAACGATGATGAAGCATTGAAGCAAACTCAAAACAACAACCAATCTCAATAATCCAAACCCACAAAAAACGAAGAGAGAAGAGAGAGCGAAAGATTAAAATTCAAACCTTTATAGCTAGCATAAAAGAGATTGAAAATCTAAAAGCTCTTATCTCATATACATTTATAGTATAGTTGAAGGGTGAGTACTGTCCTTAGTTGACAATATGATCTTGACACAAGTAACATTTTTATTATAAATATTTACTCGGTAGCATGAAAAATATCTCAAGTTTATAGATGCTTTATAAGGTAAGCATAAATCTAAAGCTTTGAGCCAAAAGGAAAAGAAAATGACAATAGCAGAAGATTACTTCTATTGGCTCTAAATGCAATATACTTTCCACAAGTGTAGAAGTCTTAAATGTCTGCACTCCAAATAGATTTTGATTGAAGCAAATCGCAGTGTTAATGAGGTAGCACCAGGCAGGTCAGCTGTAGTTAAAGGTAATACAAAAAATAGTCCAAGTTAGTTTTTTGACAGTGCATTTTCATATGTTTAAGCAGATGGTATGATTTACTTGTCAAGAAAAGTTATGCCAGAGAGAAGTATGAAATATGTAGCTACCTTGGTTAAAGCGATTATATCTGCCACATGAAGAGATGTGGAAGTAACTGCAAAAGTAAGCTCAATCATATTTTATTGAGGATGAATGTCTCCATCATTAGTTGATTTGAAGCCATCTCTATTCATATAAGATTAATCACCAAACACTTATAAGTTGCAAAAAATATCACACGAGGGAAAGAAAGGCTCTAACCATAGCCAAAGTAATCATATTCTTTCAACTGACACTATGTTGGTTTTCTCCCTCAGCATGGACTGATCTAGAGACTTCAGCCTACAAACCACAAAGTTGAACCTCAGCAAACTTTAAAAGAAAATGGAATTTGTTTGATTTACATTGTGGCTTCTAAAAACGAATATCAGTTATTTGAATACAAAAGTTTACCTTTTCAAAAAACTATTATGATCAACTGTATATTACATTTTAGCTATTTCCTCATCGACAGTCATTTTTTTTTTTGCATCTACATTTTGAATAATTTTTTTTAAAAAAAAAGCAGAATTAACAACCAAACGGAGGCTGCCTAAAAGGAGCAAAAGAAATAATAATGTACGTGAAATAGCCAAAACAGACCTCTCCTTCCTATACAAAATATATTCCTCTCCAACTTCACCTTCACGAATGACATAATCTCCTTTCTCTGCAACGTAAATCATTTCAAGCAAATCCAATAAATGAATAAAATTTAGTAATCTTCAAAGTAGTTTAGTCTAAATAGATCAGAGATTCTGTTTGGTTGCATGTAAAGAAATGAAAGAAAAATAAACGTAAAACAAACAGAAAATCAAATCGTGAACATTTCTTTTAACTGAATTTAGATCAGAATTTGAAAAATTACCATAGTGCTTAAAATTTATGTCTTCAGCCATTCTCCTAAACAAAGAACTTGGTAATCTCTACAACAATGGAATGTTGCCCAAAAACTCGACCACTGCAAAAATTAAAAAACAACAAAAAAATTTCACACTTGGAGAAACTTAGTGCATTATTAGAGATTAAATCTTCTGCGAAAATATTTTCTTGCAGTATCTCATTGTCCAAACAGAGGAATACCAGAAATTAAAGGTAGAGACAAAAACAAAAATATTCACTTGTTTCGTTGTTCTTATTTAACTTCCTTATTATCTTTCCCTTTCTCTTTCTCCTCCCCCTTTCTCTTTTTTAATATTTTCGATTGTTAGGTGCTGAAACTTCTGCTTTGTTTTTCAATCTTTCTCGTCTTGCAGCGTCTCTAGAAGCTTCTCCTCTTGCCTAAATTTACCCCTTAATTGTTTTTTAAGACATCATTGATGTGTATTATAATTGCAGTCTGGGGACTGCTTCTTGATGCGTCCATATCATTTCCCTACATACAAACCATGTGCCATGTACTAACATCAGTAGCAGCAAAACCAATAACATTCAAAAGAAGACAGTCTTTTGGTGCTGCATACATACCATTCAATCCAGCAAGCGATTGTTGCTATCCACCTCCTCATGTATATCGTCGGACAACTATTGAAATGACATGTATCAGAATATGCTTGCATTACATTTATGCTTGCATTACATGTATCAGAAGTTTCAGAAGTTTCAAGCCATATTATACATACATACATATATATATATATATATTCGGAGCGTGTGTTACTAGTTACACAACCTTGTAGCAAAAACATATCTTGATTTCATAGAACATGTCACTGTATTTGGATTGAAGCTTAAAATCTACCCAAAACATGAAAAAACCTTAGCACCTGAGCAAAGCAAACAATCGAGACTGTGGATTGGAGTATTAGAGTTGTATAGTGCATACATGAGATTCGCAATTTTAATTAATAGGATTCACAAATTAAATGACATTGGAAAGATGATGCGACTTCAACACAAATCCGTAGTCATTACCTTAACCATGGAAGTCTCAACTGTGAATTTGATTGCATTAGCTGCAGCACAAGATCTTAGATAATACATCCATGTCTTCAAACCCTATATATGTAATCAGGGACATGAATAGAAACCGTGAATCAGTAAATTATTATGCAACCACTGCCCACTGGCATTTACATTTGTTTAATCACAATAAAGACCCACGTTTTAATACCTCAGACCAAGCATAGAAGTGAATCAACTTATTAAAACTATTTAGAATGATATTTTAGATTCAATTCTACAAAAGTAATTATCTTTTATATTGGCTAATATTAGCTTGTTTTCATTCTAATTATGGCAAGTTGACTTAATGTTTGATATCTAATTTCTACGTTATTCACGTAAATTATATTTTCTAAATAATTAAAACTATTTAAAATGATTCAGTATCATTTTAATTATCTACTAACTAGAGTAGTAAATTTTTTCTTCTCATTTTAATTATCTACGACTATATTGAAAGTAGTAAATAGTTTAAATAATCTTAAAAGAATTCTACAGAAAGGAGAAACTTAAAGATTATATATTTTATTTAGAAAATGGAATCTAAAGAGTAAAGTTTAATAAAAATTTATATAAATACTTCAGTTCTCAAAATGGAAAATGAAAATTTTCATAGAATGAGAAAAGTGATATTAATGCGAAATTAAATTTGGACTTTTTCTTAAGATATAGAAAGAAGACAAAACCCTAAGTTTGACTAATTAAAGCTTTCGTTGCATCAAATATAAAAGGGGAAAAACAAAAGAAAAACAAAAATGCAACCTTAAATCCTAAATCAAATCAAATATGAAAGGGAGAAACTAGTACAAAAATAAATTATGCATATACTCTGAAGGAATAAGATGAATAAAATAAAAATCAAGTTGGGTTTGAAAGATTTCACCATAAAATCTTGAATGATATCTTGACATCATAAAGCGATCGTAAATTGTGAAAGTTCATTTCGATTTGCTTAATCTCCAGCGTGAGTATAATTATTGTTAGTCTTTTTTTTATTGTAGGTAATGGGTATTTGGTAGAGATTGAATTAGGTGTTTAGATTTTGATAGAATTTTAGTAAGGTTTGGATGAATTTTGATAGAGAAGTTTGTTGCCTTCTTCCTTGCTTCGCCATCTCCGCCTGCTCCCTTTTATTTTTATACGTTTCTATTTTCCATTATAACTCTCAATTTTTTTTTAATGTTATTCGAGTAGCTGCCACCTTTGAAGCATATGGGGACAACTTTTATATAATAATTGTAATAATAATAATAATTGTATTGATTCTCTAGATATGTTTAGTTAGGCTAAATTAAAAAAAAAAAAAAAGAAAAGAAAAGAAAATTTCCAACTTTTTTATGAGAAAAGAAATTTTTATTAAAACAAAAAAAATAAAATGATGAAATAGATGAAATTAACTATTATTTTTTTAAAAATTACAAGTACAAAATAAATTATAATCATAATTAAGTATATCAATATAAAAGAAATCACTGAATAATTAATCAATAAATTAAAATATTATTGGACAAATTTAATCTAAAATTAAACTAAATCCACATACAATAAAACTTAAATTTAAGACCTCAAAATTTTAAAGCATTTTCTTTACCACTAAATCAATGCTTCATTGATAACTAGTTTAAAGATCATGAAATACGGAAAACTCATCACATGAATGCTTAAAATTAATACAATATTAATCAATTCAATAAGTTCTTTCATTCCAATATTCAAGTCATCATATTTGGATTGTGTTCAATTTTAAATTGGATTTTATTCAAATTACATGCTAAATCAATATAGTAGATTTGTTTCATTTATTTCATTTATTTCTAAACTGAATTATATTAATAATGTTATATGTCAAAATCCATTTGGTTTTCTAGAAATATTAAAATGTGTTTTATCATTCATGAGAAATAAATATTATAAAATATTTATTTGTTATTTATATGCAATTTGTGAATAATTGGACAATCCAAATGTCAAATAAAATAAACCAATTAAAATTGTAGAAAAAAAACTTATTTAAAATATTATTTTAAAAAATTTTATTTAATACACTATTATCACTAAATTTAAAAGAAACAAGGATTGTTTTTAGATATTGTCTTCAATTTTATAATTCACCTTTTATCCACATAACTTTACTCACACTTGACCTCTGCCTTCCACTGATGAATTGCATGCAACCATAAAAAGAAAAAGAAAAAATAGATTAATCTCTAAGCAACAGCATTTTTTATTATATTTGAAGATAAGCATTTTTTTTTATTTGAAGATATTAAAATTAAATTTTAATTATTAAAAATAAAAATTTAATACTCTAGCAATACACAAGGTTAATCTCATGGCCAATAGTATTTCTAAGATATGTGAAAATCAAATCCATTAATTAATTTATTTATAAATTTCACGAATCCACACTCTTGAGATGAAAACTCATTATAATGAATTTTATTTTAGATGAGAGTTGTTTTTTTATTCCAAACATATCAAGTCATGAAATCGAAATGATAATATCTTCTGGAATTTAAGGAGTATTTCCAAACACACTTAGTCAAATAAAAATTGATTGGAAATGCTCTACAACGTCTCAAAAAATAAAATGGGGAATATAATTTATTAACCAATAAAATTTTCCCATGACCAATTCCCAAACATAAGGATCTCACCATCCTAAATAAATAAATATATATTTATTGGGAGTAACAAATTTAGAACAAAATGCACAATATTGCTCATTTGGTTGATATTTTCTCACGCTGCTCAATCCCCTGTATCTTTTTAATAGTCCTTCTATTAAAGAATATATTTGGAATAAAAATCTGCCATAGTTCTTTTGCTTTTTTTTTTTTTTTAAGACAGAAAATCCGCCATAGTTGTAAATAGAGTGAGAAAGTGACAGAAAACTATGGCAAATTTTCAACCTAGGCATCACTTCTCGAAACATAAATCAAACACCAAGAGAAAACAGATCAAAGAAAAAAAAGAACCGAAACCTTGAAACAGGGGAGCAACATTAAAGGTCATAAGGATAATTAAGCTTTAACATAGCTGCAAAAATATATAAATACTATTTGTTTTTGCTTTGGTCTTCAGCTTTCAAGAAGGTTTGGTGCTTGCGGAAGGCTTCTTTTCAGGACCCTGGGAACGGTTTCCCGAAGAGTCTTGATGATGATGATGATGATGGACAGTTGTGGATGGATTTGCAGACCTGTCAGTGCTTGAACCATTAGAGCCATAATGACCGCCATAAGGACTAGCAATTGCTGGGGCTGAGTCAGTGAATTTGGGTGGCTGCTCGTCCGCTTCCAATGTTAGCTCGGGTGGGAGGACTCGAGAGGCTTGGCGTCTGTGGCGAGACATTGGTGTGTCTGTCTTTTGTGCTCGGATGCTGGCTGCTTTGAGGTAGTTTTGAGGACAGTATTACATTACTTTTGAGTAAGAAACGGGAAGAGAGTTGTAAGTTTTAAGTTAGTCCACGGTGGAGCTTTTGAGTCACGACAGACCCCCAACAATTGTGATTGGAATGTCACCATACATCTCTTCCCAATGTTCGTTTCTATAAGATATTTTTATTCTTGATTGCTTCAATTTTTACTTAATCTAACAGATTTGGAAATGTTAGGATAATCGATTATGACCATTCACCAATTCTAATATTTGATTAAATTTAAATTAGAATTTCAAACAAAGTATGAACTGGTTATTTATGATATATAAAAGAAAATAAAAAAATTTTTGGCCATCAAATTGCAATTAGATTTAACTTGGTTTAGCTTATGATTACTCGATGTTTACAAGGACCAATGAAGGTAAACCCTTTGGCCTAATCGATAAGATGTAACCCTTCAGGTTTTGTTTCACTAATTTCCTTACTTTCAAAGCTTGCTCATTAAATATGTATGCAAGAACTTAGTATAATTTTAACTTGTCGGCTAATTTCAGTGTTTTGGCTTCATCAATTACCAATCGTCGTGTTTTCACATTTTCAGATCCTTACAATATTGCTGAACTCAGAAGCATACTTTATTAGGAGCATGGACCCTAGACCTAAGGCCTAAGACATAAGACATGCAAAGAGACAAAAACCCCAACTTAAATCAGACATAAAACTTTACACTTCAACTCAAGACCAAACATGCTCTTCATAAATAAAACGTGAAAAAGCATGACAAGTAACTGAAACAAAAAGGTGCAAAAAAAACTATGAACTCTCTGCCCGATGGATCAAATCTTTTTTATACTTTAATAACATATTTATGATTTTTTTTCTTTCAAAAGAGCTAGTAATCAAGATATATGAGAAGAGATTACAAGTATCAAAATGCTGAGGTTTGTCTTGAATTTTTTAATTTTATACCGAGTGAAGTTATAAAAGTTGAGGGTTTATCTCATATCATATTTAAAAATGTTATAAGGGTTTCATTTTTATAAATAAAATATTTTAGTTTTAGTTTGGTAATCGTAAATAGTTAGATCCTAAAAAAATAATTAAGTGAGTGGACTATTAAAATGATGTAATTGAATTTTGGCTTAAGTTTTAGGTAATGAGTTTTTAGTGACTTTTCTCATTCCAAAAGTCTCACAGTTGTAAAGATTTATTTATTAGTGTCTAAACATATAGATCTGTAAATCTATAGCTAGACTTAACAAAAAGAGTCACTACCAATCTTTTTTAACTAGGTGTGATTAGTCATCTAATGAATCTATCATCTTAAGAAACTTCTAAGCTTAATTAAGGGTCCCTAAAAAAATAGGTTCGAGTCTACTAACCAAAATAAGGTTTGAGAATTCGGTTACATGTGAGAAAGGTTATAGCACTTCCACATGCCCATCCAAAGGATGGTACCATTTTATTTTAAATTTATCATAGGGTCTTGATTCTAATGGTTTCAAATTTTATGTTAAATATTGAAAATAATTCTTAAGATTCTTCCATCACTCTGATAAAATTCTTAAAAATATTTTCTCACTTCAAGAGTATTCAAGAATTCTATTTGTTTTCTTAAAGAGGCTCCGTCGTCAAAAAAATATTTAATTATTTTTTATTATTTTATTAAAAATATATCTAATTATTCCACAATTTAGGTTAAATTAGAAATATTTTCTCTT